CTGCTACAAAATCTATGTGTCAGGGATCCCATCTTATGTCCCTTTACGCCCAGAAGACAAAGACAACGCAATCCAACCAATCTGGCCGGCAACCATCCGTCTCAAATGCACATCGACGGTGATTGCTTGAGTCGCCTCTTGACGCGGGGTACCCAGGACCTCTTTCGCATGTTGCATTCCGACGATCCTTCTTCTGAGCAAACCCACAATTCAGCGGACATGATCTTCGAGCGATTCTCGGAGCTCACGCGAGATGTTCTTGGAGAGACTAGTTCTCCGGTCGAATCGGCGATAGGGTGGTTACGACGGATCCTTCAGGTCGAGTTTTAGATAGGGGCTATTTGATCTTGTTAGATAGAGCATTATGATACCGATTTTATTCTTATTCTACTTTTCTCCATTGTTTAATTGTTGCAGCTTGTAACTAGTGGTTGTGTGTTAGTAGTGAACCTTGCAGAAACGGGACCAACTGGCGGGACGCCACCCGCAACAAAGGACGGGCTCGCATATCGCATAAGCCGATCCCCACCACCGCCGGGCCCAAAATTCTTAATTACCCCAAGAGGCACTTGCTTGCCTGTCCTTCCCGCTCCATCGTGTCTCCAGCCTTGGACCGACCATATCACAATCCACTTGAGAGGTGGGAAAAGGTACGTCTTCTTCCATTCCTTTCCTCTTCTACTGTTTCCCCTGCTCGTGTCTCCGAGTTTCCCGAGATCGCACTCGCCACCCGTCATTTGCTCTTCAGTTTTGCCATCCCGACTGCCACAGGTTGCGGGCCGGACAGAAAGTAGCTGGCTGGCTGGCTGGCTGGCTGGATTGCTCGTGCGCGCACAACTCCGTCAGACTCTTTCGGACGAGCAAACTGGTCGGATTTGACTTCTTTACTCTCCTTACTAACGTGCGGTCTACATTCCAGGTTCATTTTCAACGCAACCCTCCCTATATAACCTTTCAACATGGCACCCAAGAAGAAGGGAAACAAGAGACAGGAAGAGGACTGGGAGGCCGATCTGGGCGAGTCGGCTCCCACCACCGCTTCTCCTCCTGCTGAGGACGCCGCCGCCGCTCCCGCCGAGGAGGACAATGGCATGGGCGGTGGTCTGCTCGCCGCCCTCCGAAAGAACAAGGCGAAGAAGGGCAAGAAGGGCAAGCCCGTCAACGACTTCGTCGAGGGCGAGGATGCCGCTCAGGATACCAACGACGCGGCCAACGACTTCGCCAGCAAGCAGCCGGAGGAGGGTGGCTTCGATGATGAGGATGACGTCTTCTCCGGAAAGGCCAAGCCCAACAAGAAGGCTGCCGCTGTCGCCGCCGCCGCTCCGGCGCCCAAGGATGCTGGCGATGATGGTGAGATCCGTGTGAAGTCTAAGAAGGAGAAGGAGAGGGAGAAGAAGGAGAGAGAGAAGCAGCGTAAGAAGGAACAGGTATGTCTCTTCGGCTTGCTGCTGCGGAGGCGCGAGTCGTGTTCTCGAGCTTATGTTTTTGTGATACACATGAGACTGACACTGTTTGATTCCTTTTTTAATTCATAGGCTGCTAAGAAGAAGACGACTGCCCCCGTCGAGACCAAGGCTCAACCCACTAAGGCTGAGCCTGTGAAGGAGGAGGCCGCTGCCCCTGTTGCTGCTCCTGAGCCTGCTACTGGTGGTAAGAAGAAGAAGATCCCCGCACACTTGCTTGCCATTCAGAAGCAGCAGGAGGCTCTGCGGAAACAACAGGAGGAGGAGGAGCGTTTGGCGGCTGAAGAGGCCGCTGCTGAGGAGGAGAAGCGTCGCCTCGAGGAGGAGGAAGAAAAGAAGAAGGAGGAGGCTCGTCAACGGAAGAAGGAGAAGGAGAAGGAGAAGAAGGAGCAGCTCCGCAAGGAAGGAAAGCTTCTCACCAAGGCTCAGAAGGAAGCCAAGGAGCGTAACGAGCGCCGCATGCAGCAGATGCTTGCGGCTGGTGTAGGCAAGGTTGCCGGTCTTGAGGAAGGCGGTGCTGAGAAGAAGAAGCCTGTCTACGATAACCGCAAGAAGCGCGGCCCCAAGAAGCAGGAGGATGATCTGGAAGCTGCTGCTGCTCGCGCCAAGGCTCAGCGTGAAGCCGAGGAGGAGCGCCGCAGAAAGGAAGAGGAGGAGAAGGCTAAGGCTGAAGCTAAGGCCGCCGCTGCCGCCAGGGGTGGCGATGACGAGAGTGAGGTCGAGGACTGGGAGAAGGCCGCTGAGGAGGACGATGTGAAGGACAGCTGGGACGCGCCTTCCGATGAGGAAGAGGAGAAGGCTGCTACGAACGGTGCCGAGAAGGCTGCTCCTGCCCCTGCTAAGAAGGGGGAGGAGGAGGACAGCGACGATTCCGATGAGTCCTCCGACGAAGATGATTCGGAGGATGAGCAGTCTGCGGCCCAGAAGGCCATTGCTCAGCGCAAAGCAGAGGCTGCCGAGCGCCGGAAGAAGCAGCACGAGGAAGCTCTGGCCGCTCGTTCTAAGGACAACCTTCGTTCCCCCATTTGCTGTATTCTCGGACACGTCGATACCGGTAAGACCAAGTTGCTGGATAAGATTCGTCAGACGAACGTTCAGGAGGGTGAAGCTGGTGGTATTACCCAGCAGATTGGTGCCACCTACTTCCCCGTCGATGCCCTGCGCCAGAAGACTCAGGTCGTTAACCAGGACGGCAAGTTCGAGTTCAAGATCCCCGGTCTGTTGGTCATCGATACCCCCGGTCACGAGTCTTTCTCCAACTTGCGTTCCCGTGGTTCTTCGCTCTGTAACATTGCCATCCTGGTCGTCGATATCATGCACGGTCTCGAGCCTCAGACTCTCGAGTCCATGAGATTGCTTCGTGACCGTCGCACTCCTTTCATTGTCGCCCTGAACAAGATCGATCGTCTTTACGGCTGGAAGAAGATTGACAACAATGGTTTCCAGGAGAGTCTGGCTATGCAGAGCAAGGGTGTCCAGAACGAGTTCCGTTCTCGTCTTGAGCGCACCAAGCTGCTCTTCGCTGAGCAGGGTTTCAACGCCGAGTTGTTCAGCGAGAACAAGTCGATGGCCCGCAACGTCTCTCTGGTCCCTACCTCCGCTCACACCGGTGAAGGTATTCCTGACATGCTGAAGCTGTTGACTACGTTGACCCAGGAGCGTATGACCAACTCCCTTATGTACCTGTCCGAGGTCGAGTGTACCGTTCTCGAAGTCAAGGTCATTGAGGGTCTTGGTACCACCATCGACGTTGTCCTGTCCAACGGTATCCTTCGTGAGGGTGATCGGATTGTGCTGTGTGGTCTCAATGGTCCTATTTCAACAAATATTCGAGCATTGTTGACGCCTGCACCGCTTAAGGAACTGCGTCTCAAGTCGCAGTATGTTCACAACAAGGAGGTCAAGGCTGCTTTGGGTGTCAAGATTGCTGCCAACGATCTTGAGCATGCCATTGCTGGTTCTCGTCTGATGGTTGTTGGACCCGATGACGACGAGGAAGACATCGAAGACGAGGTCATGTCTGATCTCGAGAACCTGCTCAGCAAGGTTTCCAGAGACCAGCGTGGTGTCAGCGTCCAGGCCTCCACCCTTGGTTCCCTGGAGGCCTTGCTTGAGTTCCTGCGTGTCTCCAAGATTCCGGTTGCCAACATTTCCATTGGTCCTGTCTACAAACGTGATGTCATGATGGCCGGAACGATGTTGGAGAAGGCCCGGGAGTATGCCGTCATGCTGTGCTTCGACGTCAAGGTGGACAAGGACGCGGCTGCGTACGCCGAAGAAGTTGGCGTCAAGATCTTCACGGCCGATATCATCTACCATCTGTTCGATGACTTCACCAAGCACATGGCTGAGCTGCAGGAAAAGAGAAAGGAAGAGAGCAAGATGCTTGCTGTCTTCCCGTGCGTGCTCAAGACCGTGGCCGTGTTCAACAAGAAGGATCCTATCGTCATTGGTGTCGATGTGGTTGAGGGCAGTCTGCGCCTGCACACCCCTATCGCTGCGGTGAAGACCAACGCCGAGACCGGCGCGAAGGAGATTGTCAACCTTGGCAGAGTGTAAGTTTCCATGTCCTTACTTGAATTCTGTGTTCTCGGTGACTAATGTTTGCATAGTTCCTCCATTGAGCGTGACCACAAGGCCATCCCTGTTTGCAAGAAGGGTCAACCTTCCGTTGCAGTCAAGATCGAGGGTGCTAACCAGCCCATGTACGGTCGTCAGCTGGAAGAAACGGATACTTTGTACTCCCAGATTTCTCGTGTCAGTATCGACACTTTGAAGGAGTTCTACCGTTCGGACGTGACGATGGAAGAGTGGGGTCTTGTCAAGAAGCTCAAGCCTGTCTTTGACATTCCATGAGCGCCTCCACAGCTTCTCTAGTCAACCCTGGTGCTTCTCAGAGCCGAGTCAGTTACGGGTCTAGATTCGACGAGCCATAGCCACTGGTGATGGCTGTGGCTTGGGAAGCTCTCAGCCTCTACGTGCTGTGGATCATCATATCGTGTTTTTGCTTGTTGTTTCTGCTGTTGCTTAGCTTACAATCTCCTTGAGGGACATTCGAACGCACGATAGATGTTCACCTACCCAGGGATGAGTGAAGGATGGATGTTGGATATCGGGGGGTGGAAAGAAAAGGCAGAAGGCCTTGAACGAGGAATGACTACGACTTTTTTCTTATCACCAATACAAAAGCAAGAAGATGCCTGTACATGAGACCTTTGATGTTGGAAAAAAGCTAGCCGTGGTCGATTGCTTTATCTCCTTGTTAATGAATAGCTATGGATCTAGTTCGAATTGAGTTTTTCTATCGAGGCTTGAGGCACTGTAGATATTGTAGTCTGGTGATTGTATAGTCTACAGAATAGTCTACAGAAAAGAAGAATGCTCATCCGAAATATGTCTCGTAGGCAGGCAAAAAAGGGTACATGATGACTTATCCGACCCCATCCATCCTTGAGAACAAATATATTTACATCTTACAATTCCCACTCTTTTCCAAGTGACCTAGTTCCCACCCACCCCCCCTAAGTATTTCTTTTTCCAGAATCAAAAGAAATCAATCATCCCCCTGCCACCTCTCCACCTTCCCGCCCCGATCCGCCCAATCCAACCAACTCCCCTCATACACCCCGATCCGCGCCGCATCGTACCCGGCCTGCACGGCCAACTGCGCCGCCGCCCGCGCGCGCACCCCGGCCTTACAGTAGAACACGATCTCCGGCGCCGCCGCTCCGGCCGTGTCCGTCACGGGCAAGGACCTCTCCTCGACGCCGGGCTTGGGGAACCCGAACCGCGTCTCGAACTCGTCGGGCGTCAGGAAGAGCGCGTCGGGCTGGGAGGCGAGCGGGACGTTGACGGCCGTTGGGATGATGCCGGTCGCGTTGAGTTCGGCGGGTTCGCGGACGTCGATTAGGATGAGGGGTTTTTGCGGAGACGATGGGTTCGTGGAGGGGAGGGAGGTTGTTATCTTTTGCGATGAAGTTAGGTTTTGTTTGGCAAGGGGGTTTGGTGCGTTAGCGTTACCTCTTCAAAGTCCCATTGTTTAAATCCTTTGTCGGCTGTGGCGTTGGTGCTGTTCCTTCGGCGTTGGTGCTGCTGCTGCTGGAATTGGGGTTGCGGTTGGAGTTGGGATTGGGGGTGGGATTGAGGGACGAGGCGGAGTATACTGCTGCTGCAGGGTCGGGTTGGGAGTTGGCGGGTTGCGCTGGTCAGGATGGAGCGCTGGGCGTTGGGGGCTTGCTTAATGGCGCGAGTGAGGAGCGTCGCGGAACGGCGCTGGATGGGGAGGAGGGAGGACATTTTGTCTTGTCTGTTGTCTGTTGCTTTTGGTGCTCTTGTAGATTGCCGGGTAGGGGTGAATCTTTGAAGGCAAGAGGTAGGTTAGATGCAGTGATAAGGCCTCGCCTCGGAATGAATGCGGCGCCGCGGGTGATGTCAGGTCCGGGGTTCACCGCCTGCCTCTTGGGATATACTGCTGATTATCTACGTGAATTTGTAGTTGTAGTTGCCGATCAACCATTCGAGGTCGCGACAATGTGGCCAGCCCTACACTACTCTTTTATTTCAAACAGTTTCAACATCGAGTCTCGCATTATTATTAGTTCTAGGTAGCGTAATCTAAGAATGACAGGTCACTTCAATGCTTCACAATTCACTGAAGCGGACGAGTCATGGTTCGTTGCAAAATCATATACCTCCAGGCGCCTTGTCTCTTCAGCGACGCTGGATACACCCAATCAGCAAATGTGATCACCCTTGACCCTTCGAAATGATAAGAGAAGAGAAAAAAAAAGGCGGGCAATGCGGTAAGTAGTTACAAGGTCGAGAAAGGAACAGAAAAGGTGGTTCGAAGAAGATTGCCTGCAGCCATATCACCAGGATAGGATGCAACGCAACACATGCTGGACACGAGTGCTTTCCATCCACCTTTCAATGTGTCTGGCAGGTGGGAAAATCCAAAGCATCGGGCGTCCTGTCTCGAGAGCGAGTCGGAAACTGCTTTAAGCACGAGGACGGAAAGAGAGCAGGCAGTCATCCTAGAATAGGTCAGCAAAGTGTACATGAGTCAAAGCGGTCCAGAAACATACCTTAGGGAAGATAGTGGCAAACACCTTGATCTCCTCAGACTCGGGAGTAGGCGTGTGCTCCCAGTCCATCTCCATGCTGGCCTTGCCAATCATGGCCATCAGGTTCAGCTGAGCATAGGTCTGGCCCAGGCAGTAGTGGGGACCAGTGCCGAAGACAAGCCAGTTCTTCGTCTGCTGCTCAGCGGTACCGGTGATCCAGCGATCGGGGTCGAAGGAGTCAGCGTTGGGGTAGGCCTCCTCATCGTGGCAGGCGGGCCAAACAGAGGGGATAATCATGGAGCCCTTGGAAACAGTGACGTTCTCAGTGATGGGGAAATCCTTCTTGACCAAGTAAGGGACCATGATGACGGGAGGGCGATAACGCAGAGTCTCCTTGACGACGGCGCGAGTATAGGGCAGGTTATCCATCAATTCCATGGTCAACGGGGCGTGAATGTCGCCGTTGCGGACCCGCAGATTCTCCTCGCGAACCTTGTCGAGCACATCGGGGCGATCGGCCATGATCTGGAACAGCCAAGTACTGGCAGCGCTGGTGGCGTCCTGGGACGCGAAGAGGAAAGTGAACACGGTCTGGGCGATTTCATAGTCGGTGAAATCACGGAGGAGTTGAGGCGGCTTCTCGGTCGAGTCCACAGCGATACCCTGGGCAATCTTCTCACGATACTTGGCGGAATCCTGCTGAGCCTTGACCCACGCGTCCATGATGCAAGTGATGTCTCCACCAGCGGCCATACGAGCCTTGCTCTTGGCGGCGCAGTTCGAGAACTCAACCAGGACCATGTCGGCGGCCTTCTTGCCATACCAGGCCTTGGAGTAGGGCAGAATGACGGGGAAGTTGACAAGCTCAAGAGCAGCGGTAATCAGGTAGTAGTCATCGGCAATTTTCTTAATGGCCTCCTCGGTGATGTAGTGGCCAACAAAGGTACGGCAGGAAACAGCACACATCAATTCACGGAACTCAGGCATCCAGGGAGTAGGAGTGAAGTTGTTCTCCTTGGAGATCCGGAGGAAACGAGTATAGTAGTCATTGTAGACCTCCTCCATGCGGGGAAGATAGTAGGAAAGGGCCTGGCGGGTGAAAAGGCCGTTGAGACCCTTGCGGAACTCGACGTGATCTTTGCCATCCAAGAACACCCAATTGTCGGCACCAAGGAGCTTATGCGCAATGTCGACGACACAGGGCTTGACAAATGTAGGAGAGTTGAAAATCTTGCGGGACATGTCACGGGTGGAAGCAATGACGACGAACCTGAAGACAGACCAGTCAGATTCCCAGTGCACCGAAGTCGCGAGAGGGGCCGCAACAACCTGTGAAACTTACTTGTGGAAGACGGAAACGCAGCTCAGCGCGCCGCTATCCCACTTGGCCTTGTATTCATGGAACTTCGGATTGACAGACTGGAGGAAAGGTCCCATGAAGGGCAGCTTCCATGCTGGGCCGACAATCGAGCCCTTGAGCCAGAGGTACCGGACTGTTCTAACGGTTAGCCACTTGGCGCACTCCAGGTAGGGACACGAAAGTGCACTGGGCACTGGGAAAAAACATACACTGATCATAGATCACGGCAGCGATGAACAGAGTCAACAAAGCCTTCCATACGGTGAAACCCTCAAGGACAGTGGCGACCAGGCCGGAGGGCTCGAAAAGTCTGGGGGAGATCACGGCGTCCGCCGATGGGGAGGCAAAACTCCCATTGAGACTGGCCATGTTGGATAATGAACTGAGCAAGCGAAGGATGCTCTCCAACAATTGGCAAGGGATTAAAAGAATGGAAAGGGATGGGGAAGGAAGAATTGAAGTTAGGAAGAGAGAGAGTGTGTGGGAACTGGAAGAAGAGAAAGATCGGAGAAGAAGCCAATCCAGGGGAGACGCAACTCTAATTTGGCGAGGGAAAAATGGGTTGTTTTGATTAGTTGATAGGATCGGGGCGGGAGGGGGAGAGCGGAAGACTCTGGCAATTAGACCAAGTATACAGTATGTTCTGAAAGGTACGCGGTAGACTACATCTGGCATCCAGGGCACTGCATTGCACCTGGAGTACTCTGTAATTTCCCCATCAATGCAAGTGGTTCAATAGTCCTCCCAGTCGAGTAATAATGCGCCTGCATAAAATCTTACCCTGACAGGCGCCTTGCTGGAAGGGGAAATTTGCTGCCTTTGAGCATAAAACTAGTCTTGAAGGAGTATAAACAGGAACCGTCCACCCGCCGCCCGACGGGCGCTTCACCAAGACTGACTCGGGGGCCTGCAGACACGGCCAGTGGCAGTGTGCATGTATCAACATTCTGTGAATTAGTTAGTTAGTTAGTTACTGCTGATACATGAGTCAGCTATAGATTCCTAATCTTCAACCCCCGTACGGTTTTCACCTGGCAGGTAGGTAACTCAATCACCAATGGCAATCGTACCATTTGATAGAAAGGTGATCCGGCTATCAACCTTCCGGGTCGGCTTTTCCGGATGGCCCGTGCGGGCTGCATCTCAATCTTAGAATATTATGCTACGTACTACGGAGTAAGTCTGATTGACGGCGGGGAAAATCATGGCTGTACGTGGACTTTTCAGAAAAGACTGTGGTTTTTTCACCCTACGCTTGTTTAAAGTGTAGTATTCCTAAAGTGAAATAGCTCTGAATTGACAACATGGACAATACAATCATTGCTGGACATGATGAGTAGGGCGGTAGAAGAATCATTTGGCCCACATAGATTTATCTCGTCAAAGGGCGGTACTGCCAATGCGGAAGATAGGACGAATGGTGATGCTGTGAGTTGGGTTGCCTATTACATTGCTGCTACAAACAATATCATAGATTAGTAGAATTCCTCGTTGGTGGATATCGCTATGCTTCATGCATTGCAGTCTCTTGCTGACCAATGTCGTGCCTACCATGGTGTTGTCTTGAAGCATTCCGTACTCTGCAGGCAACGTATGTAGGCTTTCATCGAATAGTCACGTTATTTTTTTCTAGTGTGATATAAATTGATCAGATTGTTCATACTAGAACGCGTTTGTTTGGCGGAATCTGTAAAGCTCGTTAAGTCTGACAATTGAGAGTTTTGGGAAAGACATCGAGAATGTCATGTTCTTTCGTGGCGCTGCAGAAGGTCGAAACCAGTGATCACATCAGCATGATTCATGCGAGACCATACCTTAGACGCTATTATCTTTTTTTCTTCTGATTTCGATGCTAGATGTCGACATTGGAGGTTTATCTAGTGACTGGCATCACAATGCTACTATCTATCTGCAACGGATATATAACACGATCATGGCTCATTCATTGAGTGGGGCCCCTCGGTACAATTACTGGACAATCGGAAAGCAGCAACCACGAGCCATCTTCTCACCCTGCTAATTGACCCCATCCACCGAGTAAACCGAGAAGGCTCACCTGATAGTCCTGTTACTAGATTTCAGCAGTGCATTGATTTCGCTCGGGTGAATCCAGGCAAAGACCATCATTGCCAGGACCATCAGACACCCATCGAAGACGTACATGTACGCTTCGTGCGAGACCAGGTAGCCATTGTTGCCCTGTGCATACTCGACCAAGCGGAACAGAGAGCGGACAAGGATAAGAAGGCTGCCAGCATACAGGGCATACATGTGAATTTCCCAGGGTGGTTGCGACGACAGTACCTTCCGGGTGGGGCCGTCACGCATACCGATATGAAAGCGAATGCTAGTGACCGTGAATAGCGAGAAGAAGATTAGTTGGATGACCAAGCCAGCGATGATAATACGCTCGCCAGTCGAAAGGGCGCTGGCCGTGCCGCTGGCCATGATGCCGCCGCCTGCGCGGAATGTTAGTCCGTCGTGATTAGTTTGTGAGTTGGGTGGACTGGAAAAGCCTACCAGCGCCCTGCATCAGGAATGAAATAATGTCACCCAGCAGAAAGATTTTGGTCAACCACTCTCTCCGGATCCAACAGTATGCCTCCCCGTGGGTGAGCATGACGATCCGACCCAATTCCATGTAGATACTGGCCGCGAACAAGGTCGGTGCGATTAGGAGCAGAAGCGTCTGCACGATTGCACGATGTAGGGCTTCACGGTGAAGTGAGGACTTTGCGTTCCGGACACGGCGCGCTGGTGATCTTGATCAGCTTCCTTTATCCGTGACTGTGGTGGTAGTTGAGATATACTAACCCCAATGTAACCGATGAACTCAACTGAGCGAGACTGCGAGTCAGTGCTTTTCGCCAGTCATTCATTTGACTAACTCACAATAGCCGCCGACTACAAAGGGCACAAAGAACCATGTTCGTGTCCGAGCCACTTGGTAAGTATGAAAACCAGAAGCGAGTATAAATATAATGACCATCACAACGGCCGCGCCAAAAGATGGATCGTATCTGTAAAGTCTGAAGGTAGAGACTTCACCTGCCATTTCGATAGTGGGTAGGGGTCAAGCTGCGAGTATCAAATTCGTCAAGAAATGCCTTGAAATAGGTCGAAAGAGAGAAGGTGGAAGGCGTCGCTCACACGTAGAAACCAGCAAACGTCTTGCAATGGTGCGTACGAGGAACACCCCGAACTTGTTTATGTACCTTTTTCAACCTACCTCCATTATTAGTACACTAAAAAAGGGGGTCCCAGTCATATTGCCTGCAGGTGGCATGCACCAATAGTAATACTGGAGAGACATCAATTTCTGGAGCTTCAAAGTCAAATCCTCGTTATCGTAGCCGTAATCGTATATGTGTTCATTCTTGCGGATGTGCGAGGAGTATAAATCATGTCTCTAGATCGTCACCTGCACGAAACAACGAATTCCCTGCTTTCATCCCTCAGTCCCATTGCCTTTTTACCTCACCCATTGTTCTCTCTCTTCTCTCAAGGGAGAAAATACTCACCTACTTGCTTGACCTCTACAGTGGCTTCCTCGCTCCTATTGCTGAATTCTCGCCAAGCTGTGAATACAAACGTCCCTCATGGCTGGCAACAACAAGATCGACTTCAAGCTCTATAGATACACTCCATCTAGAGTTGCAGCCGTCATCTTCGTAATTCTCTTTTCCCTGACCACAGCGTACCATGTCTACCAGCTCACGCGGCGCCGAGCATGGTACTTTCTTGCTTTCGTGATTGGGGGGACTTGTTAGTAGAATCCCACTCTCCGACCACCAACAATGGAAAGCTGACGAGCGAGAACAGTTCAGATTATTGGATACATCTGTCGCGTTCTGGCCCATGACCACAAGGATTCAGTACCAATCTACAGCGTGCAGACAATCTTGATTCTCCTTGCCCCGCCACTATACGCAGCGTCGATATATATGGTCCTGGGCCGGCTCATAATCTACTTACGAGCCGAACGCCTGAGTATTGTTCCAGTACGCTGGATGACGAAGGTCTTTGTCACGGGGGATGTGGTTGCATTTGTCATGCAAGCAGCAGGTTCGTACAGATTTTGACCATACTGCATCTGTGCTCAGGAACTAATCAATGCTGCAGGTGGTGGTATCATGGCAAGTGGCACTGTCAGCAGCTACAACCTCGGAGAACATATCACCGTCGGTGGTCTCTGTGTTCAATTGGCATTTTTTACCTTCTTTATGGGAACCTGTGCGCTCTTCCATCGCCGCATTCGCCAGTCACCTACAACGGAGGCGGTGGTAGTCACGGCGCGCCTGCACGGGAGGAGTACGAGGAGTTGGGAAGGTATCCTCGTGGGCTTATACATCGCCAGCATTCTCATCCTAGCGAGATCGATATTTCGCCTGATCGAATATGCGCAGGGCAACGATGGGTTTCTCATCAGCCATGAGGTCTTCATGTATGTTTTCGACTCGACGTTGATGGTCCTAACCATGGTGGTTATCAACGTATTTTACCCATCGATTGTTCTGGGTAGATCACAGAGAGAGCGAGGGGAGGAATTGGACACTCCTGCTGTATCTGAGACAGGGTTGCAGGAGAGAACGGGCACTGGGCAGTGAATTCGGGGTCTTCCCCCAGGATCCGCTAATGGAACCTTGAAGTTCGCCGAGTGGACCCGAAAAGTGTGGCAGTGCCAATCAAAGCTTCCCGCGTATTCGTACTTCGTACCTCGTACTTTGTTATCTTTCCTATACTCTTACTTCCTTTTCAGGTACTGCCTGAAAGACCCTTTTGTGCTTTTCATAATAACTCACTTGCACTCAACCCTACCATTAGATACACTGCCAGTATGCATACGCGGAGAGCACATCACAAGTCCCGCAATGGGTGTGAACAGTGCAAGGTGCGAAGGGTGAAGGTGTGTGTTTGCATGTGTTCTCTGGGGCTTCCTTTTCTCTGCCTTTCTTGCTTACTCGTTCAATAATACGGATCATCGAAATAGTGCGACGAAGTTTACCCCTGCCTGCACTGCGTAAAGCGTGGTATGGATTGCACCTTCAAACAACGACAGAAGACCTCCAACTCCGGAGAGAGACCCAGCAAGTCGCCCGACTCAATGCCCGCTGCGAGACGGATTGCTTCACCCGGTGGAGAAGACGCGTATGGCTCCTTCCATGCCAGGCTCGCTGAAGCCGCATTTGCATCACAAGAATGGTCTATGCAGGACCCCGAGCTGATGCATCACTATACCCTTCACACGTCCCAATCCCTTGCCCGGCGACAAGAGATGCAAGACACATGGCAGGCCGCGCTACCGCACATCGCCTACTCGTACGAAGTCCTGATGCACGGCATCCTCGCGCTCGCCGCCGTGCACCTCGCCTACCTGAAACCGGAACGCTATAGTCGGTATCTGACGAGTTCCCGATTCCATATTGCCCTAGGTGTACGGTCCTTCCGGCGGACGCTTCTCGTCCCGTCTGCGGACAATTACTGTGCCCTTTTCGGCTTCTCCAGCTTGCTCATGGTCTACATTTTTGCCGCACCGGTGGATTCGGAGAGGGCCGATCCGCCACCCGGGGCTCTGGACACGATCCTGGACCTGTTCAAAATCTGCCGAGGGACGTTGGTTCTCAAACCATATTTGCCACTGCTCGCAAAGAGCCCTCTGGGGCCTCTCTTTCGTCACGAGTTCGATATTTCCTCGTATCAGAATATAGTGTGAGCCTGCCATTGTTCCATACCTAGGCAGTCATTTGTCCTAGTCCTTTCCAACCTTGCGCCAACCACTGACCCTGGCGAACAATAGAGACATCCCAGAGTGTGCTTTGTTCGAGGGCCTGCACGACCAACTCTCCCGACTCCGGACCTTGATCCTCGAGATTGATCCTACATCAGAGTCGTGCCCGCGAACGAGCTGCTTGCAGGCGCTTGGACAGCTGGAGCTATTTTTTCGCGCGATCCTGAGCGCAGATCTGCCACTCGAGTGCGGCATGATCTTCATGTGGCCGCTCACGCTGGACGAAGAATTCTTGGACCTGGTGCGGGGCAAGCACGCGGTGGCACTGGTGCTCCTCTCCTTCTATTGCGCGCAGCTCCACGCCTTTGCCAATTACTGGTTCGTCGGTCAGAGGGGGCTGGAGTTGTTGGTCGAGATTGCCCAGGTCGTGCCTCCGCCGCTAGACGCGTGGTTGGAGTGGCCCAGAAGGGTGACAGGTCAGCAGTGTCATGTCGTCAGTTAGTTTCTGCCACATCATTAAGATAGGTGCTACAGCAAGTCTTGTACACCGCGAACATATTGAGCCCTGCCCAAGTAGGTCAGGGTCTTCTTTGGGAGAAGCCATCTTGTAGCTTGTAGTAACATTTTGGCTACAAGAAGGGTAACAAATAAATTCTTTATTTTGAATGGCTGACAGAACTCCTGTGAATACTGGCAGAACTGAGTAGAGAATTTGATAGCATTTATTGCCACTGTGTTTAGCTCGAGGTATGGTATAGCTAAGTTGTAGTGATTGATATGAGTTAACATAAACGGCGAAGACTTGTTATGAAAGTGGTTGAATTGGTTGTTGATGGTATGGGTAGGACTTTGAGTCGGGCTATGAGTAGGTGGGCAGCGGTACGCTGTAGCTGTTGGTGTTATTTGATGCGATTAGCCTACCTAGTAGGAAACATCACATGCCAAGTAGCTTACGCTGTTGCGGTATTTGTTGTTTGAAGTGTGCTAGAAGTCTAGTCTTACTAATTGTCGAGATACAATATGTGTGAACGGCTATTGTTCAGAAGTTTGGAGTCTGGACTGGATGGTAGCGAGTTCTGAAGAAAGCTTGAGTTATAATATTATGAGACTCGTGTGGTATTGACGGAAGGTGTTAAGACGCGTGGGGATGGTGGAGTTGGAGCCTAGTAGTTTTTACCAGCTTGTATCCCCGCACCAGAAAGCTATAGATCGGATGGCGCTAACCTAAACAGGGACGCTATACTTTTGTACCTAAGTAATTGGCCGTTACCGCAGAATACGGAGTAGACAATTCAGTAGTATTGTTCATGCGGTGTAACTTTATCGACCCATGATGCAAGTTCCTTGTGGTAGGAAGGAGGAGAATCTAAGTGACGCATCGCGAGTCTCTGAAAGTGGACGACACCTAGGCATAGTATGTGCAGATTGCATATCCTTGGTTTAGGCCTACCGATCGGAACCAGATATACTGACGGTCAACATAGGGCATACGACCCAGAGCTCAAAAGCATTACTTGCATTGGTGATTTTGTTTCAGTCCAGCTTCGCTCAGCGCAACAAGTCATCACATCATATTCACTTTGGCTAAGGTATTATGTAGCTAACGATCAAACAGTGTGTCCTACTGAAGTGTAGATTCCCACCCAACACCTGGCTGCGTCCTTACCGACCGAACCCAAACCAGCCGCGTCGCCCGCCCTTCTTTTCTTCTGTAGTCGCTTCTTCTTCTTGGGCCTGCGGCGTCACCTGAGCTACCGAGCTTTGACGAGGGTAGTCAATGTAGTTCCAGGCCACATCCAAGAACAAAGGCTTAACAGGAACTGGCTGAATCTGCAGCGGAAACGGAACGACATTCTTCAGGTCAATGGCATCGCCGGAGAATTCATGCAACCGCTCAATCACTGGACGCTGAGTAGTCGACCTCGCTTGCGCTTCGACGGAAAGCTTCTCAACAGTGACAAGGCCTCGGTATTGAGCCACCAAGCCTCGCAGAGTTGACCCCAAGGTGGAAATCTGGGTGTGTGAGATGTCCAGCTTCGGCGGACCCTCCGCGTTGATCGAGGACTGGAGAGACTCCGCAGATCCCGTGGTAAGAGACAAGGCTTGCGAAAACAGGGCAAGGGCATTGGTAGGTTTCCCGAGAATGCCATGCGAGCGCCCAATGGTCAAGCATCTGTGATTTAGAAAGGTCAGTAATTGCTTATGGTTTTCAGTAGATATAACAAGTTACCTCAAAGCGCGGAAGTAGCTCCGCTTGGCGTCTAGCTCGCGAACGAACGTCGAGTCTGCCGCAACTCCAGGTAACTCCAGAATAAAATCGATACTCTGCAAGGTGGAGTCATATAGCACGACTCTCTCACGCAGTCGCCCAAGTTTCTTGCCAATCGTTTCCTCCACTTTCCCAGAGCCCTTAGCATTCTTGAACTGCTTGGCGGGGCCTGCTTCAAAGGAGATACCATCATGCTCTCCGCACAAGACGCGATTACGTCCAATTCTCCATCCCACCAAACCGTAATTCACTGCCGTACGTGTAATTTGTAGCGCCTGCATCCTCTTATCGCTAGGATCGACGCCCTCGGCTGCTAGGTCATCAATTGCAGTCTTTGTGGCATCGACTGCATCCTGACTCGCAATGATTACACTGTCATATGCAGCGGCCTTGTCCTTTGGGGAAGCAGACTGGCCGGCGCTCTCTGATAGCCAAGCGGCAAGACGGGACTCCGCTGCAGCCGCAGATGCGAGAGCCTGAGAGATAGTGGCATCTTCGAGTGCGACCGTCCGCGATCTCCAGGTGATGGTTTCAGGAAGTTGCTGTACCTCCCCCTCGGCAGTCCTCCGTGTTCCAGAGGCCTCCTCTTTCAAGCAATTAGGATCGACCTTCTCAACTTCAGATCTGATGGTCGCATCGGAAGGAAAATAGCTGATTGCCAAGGACGGGAGAGGCTTAGACCGAGGGAGTTTCATCTGATATGCAGCGTATCTGAGACTGGGATCGACAGTTCCAGAGAGCAGGTCACGGAAAGCATCCTTCTTAACCTGCTGGCCTAGAGCCACGTAGATGACTCGGGCAATAGCATAATCTCGAAGACACTGTTCCCACTTGCGCTTCTCCAGGAACATCGCTCCCGAGAGGGATGCCAAGTATGCGCGTGCCTCTAGCACATCAACATCAGTGGCCCCCGAAGTTGCCTGATCCTCCAGAATTGTGACCAAGTGGTTCGCATGGGTGGTAGCTCGGTTTAGTCGTGCAATGATGTGACTCCGAGCAGCACCAGCGATCCCCTTGGCGGACGGATCTGCTGAATGCGCGGTCTTCTCGTGCATCGCTTGCGCCCATGCTCGTTCAGCGCTGGTGAGTAAGATGTGGACGTATCTGCGAAAGGGAGAACCCAGATCTGAGTTAGTGGACTGTTGTGACAATACCAAGGAACAAGGTCGAGGAAAAAAACCTACTCCACATTCTTGCTCACATCCTCTGCACTAATGGCAGGTTTGGCAGTGTACTTCCGGCCTTTGGGGGTTGTCTGTCCAAGCCGCTTCTGAAGCTTGTGCAGCTTCCGGCTTGTGTATGCATGGTAAGCATTATAATTTCCAGTGAGAAGAGTCTCCTCCCGGTGAGCAAAGATGAAGTCGGTAATGTCCATCTTCCTGGTGATTCTATCGATTATCGATTATCGATTGATTGACCGAGGTATTGCCAGGTGGTGGTGCTGTTCCCACCCGAGCAGTTGCGGGTTGATGTGGTCAAGTCTCGGCCAAACAATCGGCCGGCTGATTTTGCGGGTGTTGCTTTTGCAGCATCCAACCTCCAAGCTTGTTGCTACACCTCAAAATTTCCTTCCGCAGCCACCACCGACCCCTCCCCAGACACCAAACCTCCCCCGTCCGCCGGAATATACCTGAAGCTCGAAGGTTAACGCTTCCAATCTCACATTTCCCCCCCTTGCAGCCTGGTGTGCTGGCTAGTAGCACATCTTCGGCAATTGGCATAGTCTTTCTTCGGCGTGGTACGACTGGTCTCCCTTCGCAGCGCCTCAGCCCATGCTCGATTGGCTGTCCGACCGAAATCTAACTCGTTGTTTCCAGCCCAGGAACCCGATATGTTATGTATAGCAGTCAATCACCGGTGATAATAGGGTTAGACGCCGCAATTTTTCGAGGTGATGCTGGAACGAGCGGCGGGATGTCTTGAAAACGCGGGACGACGTTTCTTTCGAGATTCAAATGGTGCCATTCGAAGCCGAAGATCGTTTTATACCAGTCTTGTGCAATACCCTGCGACCAACCTGGAGTTTCATCATGGCTCTTCGACCATCCAGTCGCCGCAAAGACCTGTGCCGAACGATTTGAACGCCACTCCGCAACTCAACGATACACGAACGCCACCCCCAGTACTCGATTTCTTGTATCCGCTTCCGACCCAGCAATTTGCAGTTTCCTGCCTCTATCGTGTCCAAAAACGGCTCGTCCCGCGTCGAAGGAGAAGGACGGCCCCTTGCTTGACGAGGCGAGCCTACACATCGCAAGCTGAGGACCTTGAAGAAGAGGGGACAAGGAGACCCGATACCTCGCAAGCTGAGGATTTTGAAGAAGATGAGTCAGGGAGAACTCATACATCACAAGCCGAGGATCTTGAAGAAGAGGAGGACTTTTTCGACGCGGCGCAAAGTGGTCAAAGTCCTGGTCTGAAAGCAAAGAAGAAAGCTTCAGATAGGTTCCTCGACCCCGCTACTCTAGAGGAATATGAGGCCTACGATGGTGCATGGTCTCGTTATGTCGCTGCTGGTCATCCTACACAAGTCAATGCGGCTCTCATAGCGTTCCTTAGGGATTCAAACAGGCATGTGGATCATAAACGTGCTAGAAGAGTGTTAAATTGGATTCCTCTTGAGTCACGGTCCGAAGAAGACTACTTGAACATAGTCAAATCAGCTCTAGCCACCAACAAACTGCCAGAGGCGGAAGATCTCTGCGCAGAAGCCATACGTTATGGCATTGGCATGAAATGTTGGGCTTTTCTTCTGGTTCATTATGCGAGTTCCTCGCAGTGGGATTGGGTACAGGCATTCTGGGACCTCGGGTCATCATTCGCGGAGAACGACCGCGCTCAAACGTGGAGCGCTCTCGTTTCGAATTTGAATATGTCTACTCTTGAGGACCCCATGACTGGCTTGGCAGACTATATACAAGAGCAGACAGAGAGCACGTCGCTACATGATCTTGCTCGCTTTTTGCTCGACAACGCTTGTACCAGCCAAGCATTCGTCGAACAATCTTCGGTCGATGGTATTTTGCTAGTTTTGCAAAAATACAACAATCTTGGCATGCTCAAGCCTGCACATTATATCAAACTTCTCAACACAATTCGGACAACCGAGAACCGACAGATATTTGTCCGCTCTATCGTGATATATCGGAACTTTCGTTGGAGGATGGATGGCCACGCTCCTTCAGCCAAACTTTTGGGCCATTTGGTGAGGCGCCTTGCCTCTTTCGAGATCACGGCTGGGCTTTTGTACTTTCTTGATGAGTTCACCCATTTTTATGGAAAGCCAACCTTGGACGCTTATAAGCACGCGCTCGTTGCTTTCTCCAAAGTTGGTGACGTTGACAACGTCAATGATATTTTTGACAAAATGGTATCCCACCATGGCAGGCCCCAAAGCCGAAGGCTGGTGACTCCTCTTCTTTACGTGCATGCACGAGTCGGTAACGTGCGAGAAACGTTGCGTCAATTCTATCGCATCCCTGAGGAATTCGGTCTTCGCCCAAATACAGTCTGCTGGAATGTTCTGCTTACAGCCTACGCCAACGCTGAGGACTTGAGTGGATGTTTCAAACTCTTAAGGGATATGTTTGACCAGGGCACGGAACCGAGTTCGCATACTTTCGGTATTGTGATGGGTCTCTGTGCCAACCGGGGCGATGTCCAGGGTGTCCGTGACTTGCTCGAGTTAGCAAAACAAAATCACGTACAGATAACGGCTCCCTTGATCGATACTATTGTGGAAGCGCACTGCCAGAACCAAGAGTTTGAGGAGGCGGAGTGGGTTGCGCAGACGTGCCTTGGGTTGGACGTTACAGGTTCGCGTGTCAGAATGTGGAACGTCCTACTGTGGAACTACGCTTTCAGAATGGACTTGGAGGCGATTTCTCGAATTCGCTCGCTCATGGATGAAGCCACATTGCTCCCAGATAGCATGACCTATGCCGCTCTCATGCTGAGTCTAGTTCTCATTGGCCAAACAGAGAATGCTCGTCGCATTCTGAGAAAGCTTCATCGCAACAATCGCGTATATGCCACCGAATTTCACTACGCAATCATCCTGTATGGGTACGTGAAGAAGAGGAACCGAGATATGGTACATGTGATTTTCAATGAGATCCAGGAGCGATTCGGAGAGGCTGGTCTTGCTTCAAGGCTCCTTGTTCTCAAGAGCCAACTGCGCCGAGATTTGCAATTAATCACCGCTGGTGGCGGTGGCGCTGCCGGCGCATATACTCGCTTGGAAAACGCAGAGAAGTTCCTTAAGGAGACCATCTCAGAGTTCCACACTAACAAGACAGCAACAAAGGCTCCTGTACTGGGCGCTGGCAGAATGTCTGCCAAACAGGCGTTCCCTACCGCATACTACGAACACATGATGAATGCCTATGGAAGGCGCGGAGCTGCTGGGCGAGCTCGAGAATTATTCCACGAGTTCATCCAGAGTCAACGAACATCACCTGACGATGACGCTCTCGAATTAGCCCCAGTTCGCCTACTAACAGCGCTGATGCTTGCTCATATCAGAGGCAATGAACCTGAAATGGTCGAAGAATACTGGAACATAGTTTTCCCACGCGCCATCAAGATGGCTAGTCGACCGAATATTGAGGCATGGTTGTCCAGTCCCAGCAATTCCGACAGCGCACCGCTTCCGTCTCACAAGGAGCTCGTCGTCAGCTCCGAAGCCCACAGTGAATATAATGCGGACGAGACCAATGCTGACGCAGCAGAGACTGCGGGCTTCTCCATCCTTTCTGCTCATCGCTTCATGCTTTCTCGGGCTCTTTCGTTGTTCATGCGTTCTCTGGCTTACCGAGCCGAGGTTCGGAGAATACCTCAAGTCATCTTGGAAGTCGAAAGTGCAGGTTTCGCTTTAACCACCTACAACTGGTCTACTTACGTCCAGATGCTTGCATCCTCATCCGAGCCGTCGGATCAACTCGAGGCATTCACCATGTTCGAGCATCGATTCATGCCTAACTTCCCTGGATGGAAATATCTGCGCCGAGGATTTGGTCTCAAGCCGCACGGTGTACCCTCTACCATCGATGTTGTGGAGACAGGCCGTCCCAAACCCCCACACCTGCTTGGTAGAGAAGGTCGACGGTACTGGAGCAAGATTCAGCCAGACTTCATGCAGCCTACTTATGTATCAATGGTATACCTGGCTGCTGCCTTGAAGGCGTTCCGAGAAAGAAGTGTCAACGATGGACCCGCGGAAATTCAAGCTCTATATGATCTTGCGCCGAAGACAGTCGATGCGGTTGCTGAAATCCCTTACCTTCGTGACAAGTTCCAAGGTGTTCTGCTCCGTGGTCGCGCACTACGAACCGACACTCCAGCCAACGAGCGTGATGAGTTCGTATGGACAGGAGGTATTCTGGGAGCAGGCGGTCTCACGAGGACTTTCTCCAGAGAACATGAGCCAGTGGATGAGGAACTTGCTGATGATACGGCGACTACGGAAGGTGACGAGCAGGCCGAAGAAGCTGCAGACTTTGAAGAGGCTATCCCGGATATTGAGGAGTTCCGAAGCCTCTTCATGAGAACACTGGAGAAGTCGGATGAGTATGACATTGAAGTTGAAGCCCGCCTGAACAGGAGACGCAAGGCAACAGGTACCAAAGAGGAGCTAGGGGACGATGAACGGAACCAGTCTGTTCGTGAGGAAGATCTCTACGAAGAAGATGAGCTCGACGAAGAAGCTCCTGCAGATGCTTCAGAGGAAGCTTCTGTAGATGTCTCTAAGCAGCTTCCGGATGATTTCCCAACCGAAGACTTCTTCCAGGAGCAACCGGATGAGCCGCCATCCGACGACTTTTTCCAGGAGCAACCAGATGAGTTTCCCCCCGAAGACTTCCTCGAGGACAATCACGAGGAGACCGAACGGGAAGCTCAAATGGGAACGGCACGGACAAGCCCGGAAAAGGATTCCGGAGAAACTCAGCAGGAGGCACCAGAGGAAGCCTCTGGAGAGGTCCCAGCGAGGCTTCAGGAAGAGTTGCCGGTGAAGATTCGGGCTGAGCCTCTGCCGTCGGAAGATCTCTTTGAAGTTCATCACGACGAAACCCTATCCAAGACTCAGAGGAGTGCTCAACCAGTGAGTCCCGCACAGGACACGGGAAAACCCCAGGAGGAGGATCAAGTCCGAGTCGTTCAAGAGTCTCGTGATGGAGTCCAGGAGGGTCCACCAGGAGACCACGGAGAGAATTTTGAGAAGGCACAGGAAGAGATCCAGGAGGAGGCTCATGAAGAAGCCCAGCAAAGTGTTGGAGTGAGGAACCCCGAAGAGAAAGACGGCCGGAAGTCTCAGGAAACAAGTGGTCAAGAGCCCCAGGAAGAGGACCGACAATAAGTTAGGCCAGGTGTGTAGGATATAGGGGTATTACGGTGTACATATAAGAACATTCTCCTTGTATATTATTCATACAGACTTGTACAAGACTTTGCGGCTCAGCGTTTTCTATATAAT